AGAGAGAGAGAGAGAGAGAGAGAGAGAGAGAGAGAGAGAGAGAGAGAAACCGCGTTCCAGTGTAGAAATCTCTTGTACTTGTAAATGTGCACACAACATATGATATCCAGACATCCAACTATTTATGAATCAAAGAGTCTAACACATGCCACCACTCTCACACCTTCTCTATCTCACACACACACACACACACACACACGCACATGTTCAACTCCTCAAAGTCTATTGTCACAAAATGCATTTGTGTGCGTGTGTAAATGTTTTACAATCAACAGTAAAATTTGTATTTTTAAAAAAAAAAAAAAAGGATAGCCAAAAATAGTACAGGGTGAGTGAGTTTCTTTAAACAGCGATAAGCACACACACACACACACACACACACTGCTTTGGTAGCAAACAGCACCTTTTGAACGTAGTCTCTAACTAACCTTAAAACCATCTGGATAGCTAACCACGGGCCTGCCCTGCCCAACCCAGTGTGTGTGTGTGTGTGTGTGTGTGTGTGTGTGTGTGTGTGTGTGAGAGAGAAAAAGAGCGAGAGGGAGATGGGGTTGTGTGTGTGACCAAACTCCTTCATCAAAGGATTTATGACCTGTGCAGCCAAATGGTCATATCCCCTAACTGCATGTAAAAACTCACTCACACTCTCACACACACACACACACACACACACACACACACACACACACACACATACACGGTATACCCAGCTGTCCGCTATACAAAAAACTAAGAAAACTAAACATAAAGTCGACCCAGACTGCTGGCATCATCATTTGCGGGGCAAAGAGTTCCCCGTCCTCCGTCTCTAAGTTTGCTCCGTATTTCTTCTCCCTCTTCCTTCTTTTTTCTTGCTTGCTCTCTCTTCATCTCTCCCCCCCCCCCTCTTCTTTCCCCTTGTTCCCTCGCTCTCTTGCTTCCCCTCTCCCTGGGAGTGAGCAACCTTGGACTGATTCATACATTTTCCTCTCCTCTGGCCAGTAAATCCAGTCAGGAGACTTGGAAAGGGAGAAGGATGAAGGGGGGGGGGGGGG